CCCCCCAATGGTAACATCTTACAAAACTATAGTTGACCCTTGAATACCACAGGGGTTAGGGGCACCCCCCCCACAGTTGAAAATCCATGTATAACTTTTTTTTTTTTAAGATTTTATTTATTTGAGAGAGGGAAAGTACGAGCAGGGGGAGGGGCAGAGGGAGAGGGAGAAGCAGACTGCTGAGCTGAGCAGGGAGTCTGATGCGGGGCTTGATCCCAGGACCCTGGCATCATGACTTGAGCCAAAGGCAGACGCTTAACCAACTGAGCCCCCCAGGTGCCCTCCCCCCATGTATAACTTTTGATTCCCCCAAAACTTAACTCCTATTAGCCTACTGTTGACTGGAAGCCTTACCAATAACATAAAGAGATGATTAACATATATTTGGTATATGTGTTACATACTATATTATTACAGTAACATAGGATAGAGAAAAGAAAATGTTATCAAGAAAATCATAAGGAAGAGAAAATACATTTACAATACTGTACTGTATTTATTTTTAAAAATCTGCATATAAGTGGGCCTGTGAAGTTCAAACTCATGTTGTTCAGGGGTCCATGGTAATTGTTTTAAATATTTCTTCTACATACATTTTGAACCACATCACAGTGTTATAATTTCATTTCAACCATCAAACATAATTTAGAAGGCACAAGAGGACAAGGAAAATCTATTATATTTATCCATATTTGTACTCTTTCCTTTGTTCTTTCTTCCTTCCTGATGTTCCAAGATTCTTTCTTTTATCATTTCCTATTCAGAGAAATTCCATTCACCATTCTTTTAGGGTAGGTCTGCTGGTAGCAAATTCTTTTAGTTTTCATTCATTTGAGAATGTCTTGATTAACCTTTGATTCTTGAAGGATATTTTCACTGGGTATATGATTTTGGATCGACAGTTCTTTGCTTTTAGCAAAAAGAAAATATTGTGCAACTTCCTTCTGGATTCTATGGTTTCTGATAAGAAATCTGTTGTCAGGGGCGCCTGGGTGACTCAGTTGTTAAGCGTCTGCCTTCGGCTCAGGTCCTGATCCCAGGGTCCTGGGATCGAGCTGATTATATATTCGTATATAATTACATATAATTCTATATTTATATATAATTACATATACCACAAATTATACATTAAATATAAGGTTACAATATAGTATTTTATATGTACACATGCATATATAATATTTAAGTTATATATGTATATTATATATACGTATTTTTAAATATACAAAGGATCTAAAAGGGTAGACCCCAAACTATTAATAGAAGATAACTTTGGGGAATGGGATTAAAGGCTGGGGCAATATTGGGGTGCCTGGGTGGCTCAGTCAGTTAAACGTCTGCCTTCAGCTCAGGTCCTGATCCCAGGATTCTGGGATCATGCCCAACAGGAGGCTCCCTGCTCAGCGGGGAGTCTACCTCTCCCTCTCCATCTGCCTCTCCCTCTCCATCTGCCTTTCCCCCCAGCTCATGCCCTCTTTTGCTCTCAAATAAATAAATAAACAAAATGTTTAAAAAAGGTTGGGGCAATATTTTAAGATTTATGCACTTTTTTTTATTAGAGACTCTTGCAATATACATATCCATCTATTCCCCCCCACCCCCCACCCCAAGTAGGCTCTATCTCCAATGTGGGGATTGAACTCACGACCCTGAGGTCAAGAGTCACATGCTCTACTGACTGAGCCAGCCAGGTGCCCTCCATCTTTTATAATAAAAAGCAATTAGAAAATTATGGATAGAGGGTGAGCCCCATTCCCCTTAAGAAAGTAGGTTAAGAAAACTTGCACAGCCTAATGAAGAAGATGGGGAAAGATAAGTCTTGAAGCCTACTATTGTTAGCTGCACCTTCCACTGCACTAGAAGCTCTCAGAAAACAAACTTGGAAGAGTAAATCTTTGAGGTTTAAAAGCTTTTGTTTCCAAGCTTTCAGTCAGTTGAGCCCTGTCTCTCTACAATCTCTGGTCATTACTGTCCATAATGTTCTGTTACTCTAATCGCGCCAGTCAGCTTCCTGTCTTTTGTGTGACTGGCTGATTTCTATTTCTTTTTTTTTTTTTTTTTTAAAGATTTTATTTATTTATTTGAGACAGAGAGAATGAGAGACAGAGAGCATGAGAGGGGGGAGGGTCAGAGGG